CACACACACACACACACACACACATGCACACACAAAACACAGCACAGCACACTCACCTCGACAAGATTAGGGAGAACAGTTCCATGCTCTCTTTGGTAGACGTACACAACTCGTGGTGCTAAACCATCTGCTCTTAGACCCAAAGAGTTTCGCGGAGGAGTTGCAGTTCCCCGGTTTCCATATGACATGCCACAGTCACTAACACAAGCACGACCATTATGGCGCAAATTATCTCCGTCGGTAGAACTAGGCATGGATGACGACCCATGGCCACGATCCCGCATTGGGTCGATTTGCTCATTTGGTGGCTCTATGAACACAACAGGGAGTTCTCTGAATGCTGTGGCGGCATCCACGACCTTTGGCATCTGCAACAGCTTCAGCACAAGCTTCCATTCCTGCACACCAAGTCCGCTCCGGCAAGGGTAAACATGCCATTGACATTGTCAAGTCGACGTCGCATGCAAGTTCAGACAAGCTCAGACATGCTAGGAGCGAAGTGACTTCATAACAAAATACTACCCACATGCCCGGCAAAAGGGCAGCCAATGCATACGTCAATGTGAAAGCTTAAACCACCAGTACTTGGCCCAGCTATCGATGCCGAGCCTGAATATGCCCTGCACGCCATTTTGCGCCGACCCACCAGCGAAACCCAAAAAAATTGTTTTGGCTGGGGGCGTCAGCCTTTCAGGTCCAGTACCCGGGGCCTCCGAAACTTGTGGGGCGTTAACGACAACGCCCCACGGCCGACATATGGGCCAAGTACTGGTGGTTTAAAAACTTGAACCATATTGCCACCGAGTTCCACATCACTGCATCGACAACTGAAGGGTTCTATTTTAGAGTAACAAACAGTGTGCAGCATCAACAGCAAAACAAAACATGCCTGCCTAAATTGACGAACAGGCCAAGCTCAGTTGGTACTCCCATGAAACTGCCGAAATCCGCAGACCCAAGTTCGAATCCAGGTGCCATCCAATGAACAGAAACATATGAAGGTGTGCCTGAATTGCAAACCAAAGTTAGCGGTGCGCCAGACTATGGTCAGCAATTTAAAGAGTTGATAGCCACGGCATGCAACGTTTGTTGTTTGAAATTTGACCATTGCAACGTTTGTTGTTTGAAATTTGACCCTTGAAGTTTGAAATGGATACTAGCTTACTACGTAACGAGGACAGAGGGCAGAGCACTAGGATCTTGCAGATTCAGCATCAATATTTGTCAAAAAGACAAAAACTTCACACACATGTTGCTGGCCATTGCTCCCACATCAAACCATTGCAGAATGAAACCAAGATGGAGTGAACACAATGATCGCACAAGTCTCACAGAATGCCGGACAGACACAGAGTGCAGATGAGATACGCACCCCAAAATAGGCCCTGCGATCGCACACGGGTCACCGAATCATCTTGAAGTTCTTCCTATCACGTGAAGCCATGGCCTTTCACACACAATGCAGGTGAGCCTCGTTCATATATTATTGCTTACTACTAGTACTTAGTCTACTACTGAGTCAGACACGTACTCACAGGTCACGCTCACATTCCTCTCTGAACGTCTTCTTCCTCATGTCTCTCTCTCCTTCTCACTCTCACTGTGAAGCTAAGCTATGGTGCCAGGCACCACCCATTACGGTAACCCTAATCGCTAGACTCGCTCCTCCGATGCTGCAACACACAAAATCGCAGCAGCGCTTTCACATTCAGCGCAAAGGCAAAATCATGTTGATGTGTTCAGCGATGGCAGACTGAAGTACTGTTTGCCGGCCACTTTGACTGGCTCAAGATTTGCATATAGTGGTAAGACCATGTGAAGGCAAAACACGCACAAAACAGGGACCCCCTGGAGCACAGAGGGCATACTAACAATAGGACATTTTGACTTATTTCTGGACATAATTGCCACGAGATACATCCAAGTCCGGTCGTAAATGCCTTCAGATGCATTTCTACTGGTTGTGGCCGTGGGCTTCTAGTCGAATTCTACTGGGCATGTCTTTCTAGTGGGCATGGGTTTCTATTGGCCATCGGTTTCTAGTGGGCATGAGTTTGTAGTGGTAGTGTGAGTACGTCCTGAGTCCTGTCGTACTCACCGACTCGAAACGTGACCAGGGACCCTCAAACAGTCTGCATTGACTCTGAAAGAACTCCTGGAGATGTTTGAAGCGATTGCGTACTGTCATGCCCTTGCAGGTTGGCATTGACACTATGGGCCCCTCCACTGCAGCTCTCGACATGCACAAAAGACAAAAACCATGGTGGAGTATCTTACTACGCTCTAGCGGAAGATCCACTCTGGTTTTGCACATTTCGAGAGTAATGGAGTGAGGCCCAATGGGTCTCATATGTTCCCATATTCTTGCGGTCTATATTTGGGCCTCACTCCATTACTCTCGATTTTGCTATTCCCCGTTTCAGCAGAAGATTCGTTCCGATTTTGCTCATCCTATCGATGGAATGTGTGTGTGTGAGATGTTCATGATTCGACCAAGGAGGGAGAGAGAGAGAGAGAGAGAGAGAGAGAGAGAGAGAGAGAGAGAGAGAG